TCATTTTTCGAAGTAAGCTTTCACTAACTGATTTGGGAATCTGAGCTCTAACATCATTATTAACTAACCCTTGAGCCATACGTTTAGGATTGTTTTTTCTATAGTGATCGAATTGCTCCTCGAGTGCTTTTCCAAAATAGAAATAGTGACGAATGACTTCTTACGTCATTTTTTTACTAATTTCTTTAGCATTGATTATATTTTGATACAAAGCTAGAAAATTGACCGAGTTCTCATTCAATTCAAATATTGGTTCAGCTGGCAAAGTTTTCTCTGGAACGTCAGTTCTCAATTCTTTGATTAGTCTTTGTAACGTAGGAGAATCTTCCTTTTCACCTTGCTTCTTCACTTTCTTGCTAGATGATTTGCTGATAGATTCACTAACACACTTTTTAGACGGACTTGGGAGGAGAGGTCAGTAAATAATGACGGAGATATATCCATCAAATCATTGGTATTCTGACTTCCGGACGTAGCATCAGTCGTAGATTCTACCTCTTTCTTGCAATCAGGTCTTGGACATATTGAATGTTTTTTGATGGATTTTTCGATGCAATCGTGATGATATGAGTGACCACAGGTGAGTATAGTAATTGGTTTCTTTATTTCATACTATACGTGTTGCCCAAATCCCAAATCATTTGGGATTTGGGACGCCAAAATCCCAAATTACTAGTATTTGGGATTTGGGATTTGAGATTTCGGCAAAAAATACTAATCATAATTTGGGATTTGGGATTTAGGATTTCGGCATTTGGGATTTCGGCATTTGGGATTTCGGCATTTGGATTTTGAATTTGGGTGGCAGGTATATTTCATACAAGAATAGTTCCTAATTGCATAATGAGCATACATCCAGTTCGGGGGTATCACTTTCATCTATAATTTTTTCAGGAGACGAATTTTTAATTATATTTAGGGCGAAAGTTTTGAGACATGAGATATTGGTAGATATAACTCATATAAAAATAAGTTTTTGGCTGAGCCAGTAAAGCTGAGACACCCACCTTTCTCATCTCACATCACCTATGTACCTGCTTACATATCACTCGAAAAAATATCCCAACTTGAATTGGAATTACATCCGAAATGGCACAAGGAAAGATAAGGTTTTTATTATAGCAGAATCGATATGGAAAGGCGAGTTTCATGATTGGTGAAAAAACATGAAATTAACAAAAAATACCCAATGGGTATATATGTGAGAAATTGAGTCGTACGAAAAACATGTGGATCTAACCTGTAAAGTGTTTATTCCTCTTTATCCACGTTATTTCAAACACATGCTTCGATCACGGGTAATGGGAACATAATACGTAAAAATAGTTAATCTAAGTCACGCTTTATATGTCTATTAATAAACTTACCAGATGATTAATTTATTTCTTGTGGCATTTTTGCTTTTTTACAACTGTGACCTTACATACACCTTCTGAACCTGAATTGGAGGAATAAGAAGTCCTTGTATCAGAAGTGTCAGTATCCAAATCCGTGGAATACTTACCTCCACCTTTCTTGCTCTTATTTTGGTGTAAGCAAGAATTAGAAGTCTCTGTCTCAAATTTTATCCATGGTAACTTTCCTTTATTTATACAACTTAGTTCATACTCAATAATACAGAGTTTTTCGAAAATTCCATACTCTATATCATTTTCTATAGAATGAACCGACTTCCAAATATTATTGAAGTGCATTTTTATTGAAAGCTTTCCACACACATCGCCTAAATCTACTTTAGGATATTTCTTATTCTTGCTAGCTCTGCTATTTTTGAGTACATCATCATTTAATCTTCTGGGTATTGGAGATGCGGGAAGTATATTGTGAAATATTCCACAATGGTTCTTTTGGTGTTTAATATCTTGGGCACCTGAGATAATTTTGTTAATTATATTCATAACCTCCTCTTGGGCTAGACCAGGTTTAGATTTCGTCGATTTAGATAAGTTTTTTTTACTAGTGCTGGTTTTATTACTATTTTCTTCAATTAATGGAATACTCATACCATCTATTATTACAAAACAATGATTCTTCAGATCTGTAATAACACCATATTGTTCATAGGTTCCAGGAGAAAATTTAAAGCTTATTTTTGCTTCATGCGTCCATAACCAATCTTGTCTCAATACCAGATCGAATGATAGATTTTTGCGAATTTGAAAGTCTATTACTTTGGTACCATCTAAGCTTTGCCACTTTCCTTTATAGCGGAATTGTAAATCTAGGCCTTTTATTTCTTTGCCTATTATATCTTCATCGGGTATACCTTCTAATCCGTAATTAGACTCAAGCTTACTATACAAGCGCCTGCTAATAGTATTGGATTTAGATGTTGTATCGATTAATGCTTTTACTGGGATTTTTCCTTCAACAATAGTATCAACGAACATGTTAAGTATATTTAATAATATATATTATCACAAAAAAATAACTAATGTCTGATATATAATTATATATTCTCAAGATCGGAAGAGTCAATTGCAGATTTGGATGCACAATCCTCTAAGCTAGACGAAAAAATTAAATATGGCAGATGGGTAGGCCGACTTGTTTTCCTACATTAGGTTAATATAATTCGTTAAATGAAAATTAATTACCCATTCTTCACTAATAAATTTAATTATTTATAACCCGCGTTGGAGGATTCTCTCTGAGATAATTAATAATTGCAGAAATAAGATCTGTTTTATCTGATATATGACTCAAATAGTAGTCTCTAAAGGGGCTGGTTATAGCTATCCTATTTTGTCGACCGGTAAAGATTGGAATAAGTGAAAGCAAATCAGAATCGGAGAATTTATCATCTGAATAATCAGGATGTTCGATTTTAATTTTCGAATTGAGTTTTTTTATCACTTCTTTGCTAATCCCTTCACATTCTTCCAAACCAAGATATTTCAAATTAGTACAGTTGCGGGCTATTCTCTCAACAGCTTTATTATTAATTGAACACTGACCAAGTTCAAGATGTCTAAGTTTTGGACAAGAACGTGTTATTTCAGTGATACATCAATTAGTGAGACATATGCATGAATTAAGACTCAGATGTAATAACTTTGGGCAATATCTTGCAATTTCTATAATTGGTATATTAGAGAAACCATTACTTTTATCAAGAATGAGAAAGCATATATCCAAACACGAATGCAGAATTGTACTTATTAAAGCATCTAAGATTTTTAAACCTTCTAATCTGAGATATACCATCTTTGAACAATAGAGTGATTTTATTTTTCTACGCATAACTCTTTCAAAGTTTATCAATTGCCGAGTAAGAACTCGAGATATATTTAAGGCACGCTGACTCTGCTGATAATCTTCATTGAAAAACTCAACGCGACGTCATAGAATAGGAGTACCACAGTGATACCAAAAGCGGTTGACAAATAAAGCAGAATAGAAGAATCGATCGATTTTTAAAAAATATAAGATCTGTTCTAGTAATTCTGGTAAATCAAAATATTTAGTCATACCATTTTCAAGTTGTATATTATTGCAAAGCAATGGCAAGGTCCTATATATCTTTAATCAAAAAATAAACCTTTAATGGATAATTACTCATCTCAACTAGTAAGACATTCCAAAGTGCTCAGTCTTTCTACTAATTCATTTAATGGAAGGTCCAATTCACATCGTCTGGCTTCTATTTGATTATCAGAATTTAATCTGTGAAGAAATTGACATTTAAGTTGATCTTCATTATATCCAGCTAATTTACCACAATTTTTTACTTTCCTATAATATTCTATTATCAATTCACTATCTTGTCTTAAATCTCCAAATTGAAACTTCTGCATATCGGTAAGTCCTGACGAAATTCTATTCAAGTGATCGACTATTACATTCAGAAGTTTTTTAAATCCGAACTGGATCATATCTTTTTTATTTTCTAGCGATAGACCGTTGAAGAATTTTTTCTTAAGGTCTTGGTTATCTAAGTTCAAACCTAATGCCATAGCATATAACTTTATCATTTTGAAATAATTATCTATGAACCGATCAAGTTGTATGGGTGGTGGAATATCTTTAGACTTTTTTGGTTCAGAAACCGGAAAGCTTGGATATGATCCCAGTCAATTGATAGTATCTCTTGAGCCATATTCTGAAAAAGACCCTCGCATTGTTTGTTTTTTGAAATATATTAATATATTTAATTATATTTTTTCGCATATTAATAACAATTAATTTATCATAAATCCAATGGTTAAAAATAGCTGTGAAATGGTCGCTTCTAGCAATGATATCTCAAAACTAGTATCTAAAATTGTTAAACAGATATCACATAGAAGAATTTCAATTTCTTTCCACCAATTACTGAAGATAGTGAAACCCGAGATCTGACAAGAAATTGTGAACTCGATAGCAAACCCAAATATTGCTAGAAAACGGTGTAAGGTGAAAAAAAAGTCCGTTCTTAATTATTCTTCAGATGAGGATATAGAGGAGTTCTGGATGGAATCTAGTATCACCAGTGATCTTTGGTTTCCTCAAGAACCACCTAATGGAGTGACTTGTCGGTTCTTTTAAGGAGTTTATAGTCCTTTTCCGAAGGTAAGACTGCTGTTACATTATTTTAGAAGGTACTAATGATTTAATTATTTTAGAAAGGGAATCAGACTTTTCATTCATTTTATTCCAATATCTTTTCAAGTCCATTATCATCCTTAGTATTCATATTCGTTCATTAATTATCTTTTACTTTCATTAACTTTAAATATCATTTCCAATTGTCCAGATTAATTATTATTCCAAGTCCAGGATTTATTATAAAGTTTGTAATTAATTTCATTAACTCAGGAATAATAACATTATACAATTATACAATCAAGTATTTAATCCCATAACATCCATTA